GTCTGTGCTTGTAATTACACTGTAAATTGGGGGCCGAGAGACGATAACTGAAGGGATGAAAAAGCTCATTCCAGTCGTTTGAGCTATTTCCGAGAAAGTTTAGATTTCTATCTAATATATTCATTTTCCAGAGCACATTCACTTTGGAGGGCGACAAACTAATACAGATTGAGAAAGCGATTAAATCAGAAGATAAGGATTCCAGGTTCGAGCGCTATATCGACGAAAACGGGCAGCTAATTATTGTATGTTCAGATACACTGATGTTTCCTCCATTTCAGAATTAACAAACAGTGGAGCTCCCTAGGACAGCTGGTGCAGTCATGCGTTTTGCGCATTTCTGTTCTGTAGACATTCACCGTCAAGAATATTCATTGCTTTACAGTTCCATGTGCACAAAAACAGACAAAATATTGTCTGGTCCCTAGTTGTAATAAAAATTCCACACACTTGCAACTGTTCTTGAGACCCGAACTCGAGCTTGCGGGATTGTCATGAACAGAAAACATCCTCCGATAATTTTAGCCTTCTGTGGTTTCTAAATTAAAAATTTCCCACGTAAAACGATATGTACCGTTCGTGAGAAGTAAGTGTATGGGCAAGCTGAAATCAACTCTGTGAGGCCGCAAATGGATGTAAGACACCTTGTCAAAGTTTCAGTTTTCTAGTCTTGCTGTTCCTCCAGTTTGTAAATTTCCCGTCAAAACATTTCACCTGTTCGTATGTAAGATTCAAGCGTATTTGGAAACTGAATTTAAAATTTTTGAATCTTACAAGGGCACAGATCATCTCCATGAAGGTTCCAGCCTTTTAACTTTTTTTTCCCTGGCCTTTCTGGTTCCTGGGATGGAGTCCTCGGATAAAACGCACTCTGAACAAGTACAAACATTCATACACATGCACAACACACAGACAACTCGACATTATTTGTTTTTTGCACCTGTTACAGCACAAAGCGCATAAAAATGTAGTGTCGAACGTAGAATCCTACAGAACTCGGTTTGGCTGTGCAAGGTGCACTCTTTTTATGTGTTTTTGGTTTCGGCTGAAGGTGCGAATGTCGCGCCCTCGAATTTTGTCTAAGTGAAATTTCAGATGCCGCACGGAACTTCTCACAGCATCAGGTTTCATGCTGAGCATAAAAAGCCTACATGGAATTCCATCCCCATTTCTACTCCAACCAGTGTCTCAGCTTCTTTCCAGCCAGTAACTCGGATTCCTTTCCATCACGACTTCTGAGACCGAAACCA